ACCTGAGCTGAAGACAGACACTTAACAACTGAGCCACTCAGGCGCCCCTATTTTTGAGATTTAACTAAGCATCTATGTATAATTTTGGTTTGTTTTGTTTCTGCAGTAATTCCACTGAATGAAGAAGTTCTTGTAACATTAGGAAAGGAAGAGGTAAGTCACTTAATAAATCTGTAGTAACCCTAATTAACCTATAAATAGAAGTGTTTGGGATTCATGAGATATGTAGGATGAATCTACTTTAAAGCCATATTAATTTTTTTATTTTCATTTTATGTTTTATTGAATGGAATTTTTTAAATGACTTGAATTTCATTTCACCAATTTGTATATCAGAACTATTGTTAGTAGTTAATGTAAACTTCATTCTTATATTTAATTTTCAGTTGATTAAACTCTTCATAATACAAGCAAAAACATTAAACATAGTTAAATGATCATAATATACATCTGTTCTTCTCAAAACTTAACCTACATATCAATAAAGATATTTTTTTAACATGTAAGTCCATTAGGTCAAACAAGAATTGTAAACAAGGTTGTAATGCGTGGAAAGAAATAAGTATCTGTGTGTCAACAGACAGAGATAGGGATGAAAAGATATCATCTGCCCTACAGAGTTGAAAAAAAGTCTTGGGATTTGAAGGAACCTGGTACTACAAAATCCAAGGTTCAAGTCTGAAGCTAAAAACAAGATTTCTTTAACAGCAGAATGTAGACTGTTAGGCTTTATCTCTTCTAATCAGGCAGCTTTTTACCCCCATACTTGGAAACTGGAGGTATAGGATATGGAGAGATTAAACTGTTGAGGCTCTGGACCCAGGAATACCAGGTTGGGTGTTTAGTAGGGTTGGCATGCAGGTCAAAGGTCAGAAAGATCCAGTTAATATTGTATACTGTGTGGTGGAAGTACCAGCTCCTTTCCCTGCTCTTTCTCCAGAGGTCTTACAATCTATTATAAAATAGCCTCAGAATGGAGATAAAACAGTCTTCTCTGGAAAATCTAAATGGCTTAAGAGAAAGATCTATAAGTGTTAATATATGGGGTTCTCAGTGAAAAAGCAGGATTGGTATACATCAAAACATCCCATTCATAAACAGGGTTTTTAGTATTTTTGAGTTTTAAACATAAATGGACAGCCAGTGGTCATCAGCGTTTGTGACTGCCTCCAAATAGAAAGACAGAAACCCAAAATAACTGATAAAGATGAACCTTAAGGAAATAGAGACAATTCATGGAACAAAGAGAATTTAATAAACAGTATCTTCAGGGGGCCTGGGTGGCTCAGTCGTTAAGCGTCTGCCTTTGGCTCAGGTCCTGATCCCAGGGTACTGGGATTGAGCCCCGCATCGGGCTCCCTGCTCCGCAGGAAGCCTGCTTCTCCCTCTCCCGCTCCCTCTGCTTGTGTTCCCTCTCTCGCTGTGTCTCTCTCTGTCAAATAAATAAATAAAATCTTTAAAAAAAAAAACAAACTATCTTCAGAGAGACAAAAAAAATTTGGTTAAAAAATAACAGAGGCGCCTAGGTGGCTCAGTCAGTTAAGTGTCTGACTCTCGATTTCAGCTCTTATCATGATCTCAGGGTCATGAGATCTAGCTCCGTGCTGGGCTCCTCACTCATTTGGAGAGTCTGCCTGAGAGTCTCTCTCTCTCCCTTTGCTCCTCCCCCTGCTTATGCATGTGCTCTCTCTCTCAAATCAATCAATCAATCTTTGAAAAAAAACATTAAAAAATAACAGAATGCCAACTTAATAAAAGTACTACTTCATACCCCCTAGCATGGCTATAATAAAAAAGACAGACAATAACAAGTATTGATGAAGATATGGAGAAATTAGAACATTGATAAACTGCTAGTGGGAGTGTAAAATAGTACAGCCACTTTGGAAAACAGTTTGGTAGTTCCTCAGAAGATAAAAGAGTTGCTATTTGAACCAGTAGTTTCACTCCCAGCTGTATACCCAAGAGAAATGAAAATAAGTGTGTGTCCACACAAAAACTTAAACATGAATGTTCATAGCAACATTTTTCTTAATGGCCAAAAATGGTAAACAACCTAAATATCATCAACTGATGAATGGATAAATAAATTGTGATGTGTCTATACAGTGATGTATTATTGTCTAAAATAATGAAGTACCGATATGCCATAATATAGGTGTATTTTGAAAACATTATGCTAAATGAAAGAAGCCAGTCACAAAGGATTGCATATTATATTATTCCATTTATATGAAATGTCCATAATAGGCAAATCCATAGAGACAGAAAGTAGGTTGTTGCTTATTGATTAAGGCTGGGTGATTGGAGAGGAAATAATGAGTGACTGCTAATGGATACTGCTAACAGGTTTCCTTTTGGGATGATGAAAATGTGCTAAAACAGATTGTGGTGATTTTGCAGAACTCTACAAGTACTGTAAAAATTATTGAATTATACACTTTCAATGCGTACTGTATGGTATGTGAAATATATATCTCATTGAAGCTGTTATTTTAAAAAGGACCAATCAGAGAATAAGAGCCTTTCTAAATAAAAACATGATACCTGAAATAAACACGAAAATGTTGGTAATTATAGTCATGGAAATCTCCTACAGAGTAAGGATGGCAAAAAAAGGAAAATTGGAGTAACAGAAGATAGTAGAACTATAGTATCAACTCAGAAGTACAAAATACAACCAGTAGAAGTTCCAAATTTTTGAAAAATGCAAGGGAAGAAACAATAAATAATACATGAAAATTTTCCCAGAATGAAAGATAAAGGTTCTTTTTTATATTGAAATGAGCCACCAAATTTTCAATATCATGAATTAAAAATGACATGACATAATGATCCACTGTAATTTTCCCTTTGGTAGCAGCCCTTAGCCTAGTAACTCTGGTTTGAACTGGCTGAAGTCCAAATGATGCAGTACCAGCATTGGCCTTAACATTTTCATTTTAACTATTTTAGATAAAAATAACAAAGAGGTTGGATATTTAGCTTGTTTCTTTCACAGTATCATAAGTATTTCCTTATGCATCCAGTCAGCCAACTGTCTGAGAATTTTTTCTGTCATTTCTAAATTCCCAGACTACTTCTGCCTGTAATTATTGATCATGGTGCAACTGTTGTCTTCTATCTTTTTTGACTGGGTAAACATCAGGCACCAGGTTCATCATTCTCTACCCAATTATCCTTCTTTTTCCCACACAGTGCTTTCATTATGTTTTGGTGAGCCAGAGTCATAGCAAAATCCCACTTCCGAGGCCAGCTGTTGTCTGGTTTTTCCCTAAGACCACTCTCATTTCGTTGATGGGCTCACAGGAGTCAGAAAAGCTATTGTACTCATGGTTACAGTTTATTACAGTGAAGAAACACAGATTAAAATGAGCAAGGGAAAACACACATAGGCTAAGCTTATAGTAGTCCTTTCCCAGTGGAGTTGATAAATTTGTTTAATTCTTCTTGCAACCGAGTGCACAACATGTGCAAAGTGTTTTCAAATAGGGAAGTTCACCTGAGCCTTGCTGTGTAGAGTTTTTATCAGTAGTCAGTCACTATGCATAAAGGACCTCCTTGACTGACCTCGCCTACTCACACTCCAGCCCTCCAGAGCAAAATTGCATTCACCATAAATCACATAGTTAGAATAAACTCTCTAATCAAACTGGTGCCAAGTGTGGCTTGCACTCACAACACCAAGATCAAAAGTTGCATGCTCTACAGACTGAGCCATCCCAGCACCTCTATATAAACACTCCTATCAGGCATAATATTCCAAGGCCTCAGAGCTTATCCTTTAGGAGTCCACAGGGGACCTGTCCTGAAGATAGGCCTTTCTTGGTAATGTGCAGTTTGTGCAACCTCTTTCCTGCACACTTATCTTTTTATTCTCTTAATAGTGTCTTTTTAAGTTCCCAGTTTGATTAACTCTGTTTTATCAAGTTTTTTTTTTTAAGGTTTGTGCTCAAATATAAGAAATATTTGTCCAACTTAAGGTCACAAAGATTTTCTTTTCTTTAAAAATTTCAAAGTTTCACATTTATGATCCAGTTTGAATTAATGTTTTTATATAGAATGAATTATTGATAAAGCTGTATTTTCTTTCATATAAATACTAATTGTGGGTTTCCAGCACAAATAGTTGAAAAAAATTATTTTTTCTCTTTTGAATTTCCTTTGCATGCTTAATGAAAATTAATTAACCGACCATGTATGTGTGGATACATTTCTAGACTCCATTTGTTCTTCATTCTGTGGTTATTTCTTTTCCTTTTTTCTGTGTTTCTGTCTTTAGGTCAATACCACATTGTTTTATTTACTGAAGTTTTTAAGTCTTAAATAAAATAGTATGAATTCTCTTTTTTGTTCCTTATCGAAATTGTTTTATATTTTCATATAGAGTTAGCTGGTCATTCAATCCCATAAAAAGCTTACTGAATTTTGACTGAGATTGCCCTGATTCTATAGTTTAATTATTTTATTTTATTTTTTAAAGATTTTATTTATTTATTTGAGAGAGAGAGAGAGAGAGAAGGAGAGGGGGCAAGGTCAGAGGGAGAAGCAGACTCCCCGCTGAGCAGGGAGCCTGATGCGGGACGCGATCCTGGGACTCCAGGATCATGACCTGAGCCAAAGGCAGTCACTTAACCAACTGAGCCACCCAGGCGCCCTCTGTAGTTTAATTTGAGGAGAATTGACATCTTTAATATACTGAATCTCACTTCAGATCCATGAGCCTTGTATGATCTCTGTATTTACTTAGGTCTCCATTTATTTAGTACTTTTAAGATTTATCTTGTCAGTGTCTTATAATTCATTATATCAAAGACTAAAAAAGAAAAAAGATGTTTGATTGTCCCAGTGAATTCAGAAAGAATAAGTGGCAAAATTCAATATTAATTCTTGATTTTTTTTTAATTTTTATTTTATTAAGAAAACTACCCCCTCTTATGTGGGGCTTAGAACTCATGACCCCAAGATCAAGATTCTCATGCTCTACTGATTGAGCAAGCCAAGCATGCCAATTCATGATTTTTTGAAAGAGTTAATAAATTGTAATAGAAGTGTGCAGGTCTTACACATTTTTGTCGAGTTCATCCCTTTGTTATTTCATATTTTTGATGCTATTAAAGTGGTATTCTTTTTTCAATTATCAGTTATTTAAT